CATATATATATATATATATATATATATATATATATATATATATATATATATGTAGGAGTTGGGGTTCTGGCGAGTGACAGGTGGTACGCCCAGAAGAGTTGAATGGAACATAATTTGACAAGGGTTCCATTCGCTATGGTGTGGGCAGGGGGAAGTGGTGTTATAGGAGCTTGGTGAGGGCAGGATCCATGGCTGAGGGGCCCCTCCATGCAGGACTGAGGGTAAAGTGGGTGGAGGAGCAATAAACACCTGGGCTGCACGTCTCCTCCGCATGGGTGCCTCACTGGCTAAACTCAATCACTGGCCAGGGGACCTCTCTGATGCACAGGCTTCCCTGCGGGGCAGAGGGCACAAAGAAGGACCCTGAAGTTGTTGTGAGGATTACATGAAGTCCGGGACTTGACCTGCCTGGTCCAGCAGCAGTGACATAATTGACATCGTTATTAGGTGGGTGTTGAAAGCAATAGATGATTGTTCAGCTGTCGTACTTTATTTCCTCCTTCCCTCCTTCCCCTGAGCATTTCAACTCTGCTCAGAGTTGAGAGCCATGCAAGGAGTATGTGACTTCCTGAGGTGCCAGAAGCAACACTGTCTGTGTTTACAACACAATCACCCCTTCCCTCAGTTCAAGAATGTACACTTTTTTTTTCTTCGCATTTTCAAGTTGCTGAACTAGGATATGTCTCATAGCTGGTGAATGTTTGTCATGAGGACAGACCTGGTCTTTCTTGTTCCCCACGGTGTCTCCAGCACCTAGGACAGTGCACAACTCACAGGAGATGCTCGGTAAATGTTTGTGGAATGAGTGAACTAATTCTGACAGCAGTAGTGCCCTGTGTGTTCACAAGTGTCTGTGTGTGTGTGTGTGTGTGTGTGTGTGTGAGAGAGAGAGAGAGGGAGAGAGAGAGGGAGAGAGGGAGAGAGAGTGACTGTCAAGGCCTGTCAAGAAACGCTTGACAATTTCTTTTTATTTTTTCTTTTTTTAATATTTAGTTAGTTAGTTAGTTTGGCTGCACTGGGTCTTAGTTGTGGCACGCGGGATCTTCTAGTTGTGGCATGAAAGCTCTTAGTTGCAGCATGCGGACTTAGTTGCGGCATGCATGCGGGATCTAGTCCCCGACCAGGGATCAAACCCGGGCCGCCTGCATTCGGAGCATGCAGTCTTACCCACTGGACCACCAGGGAAGTCCATGGCTTGACAATTTTTTGTCAAGAAATTCTCTCCCTGGGGAAAGTCTGAAGATCCCACGTTTTGGCCAGATGGCCTTCCCTGTCTGGTTTGGCCCAGTCCTGATCTGGGACTGTGGACTTGGGTGAAGAAGCTGAAGGTCTCAAAGGCCACATCATCAGAAAATACCTACTCACTGGGCCCCTGACTGTGGTAGCACAGGGAGCATCTCATGGACATGGACGCCCAGCAACTTCCTTCTTTTTTTATGGTGAAATATTTCAGACCTAGCCCAATGTGGAGAGAACAATATAATAAACCCTCATGAAAAGCTAAGAAATAAGCCTAGATGAATACCACTGGAGCTTCTGCATTCCTGTCCTTTCTCCTCAGAGGTAACTGCTATGCTGAATTTGGTATTTATAATTCCTGCGGAGGGGTGTGTGTGTGTGTGTATATATATATATATACACACACACACATATATATATTCAATGTATATAAAATATATACAGTCAGTTCTCATGATGGATGGTAGTTATAGTCTATAAAATCCCCATGAACACTGAATTGACAAGTACTGAACCGTTGCTCCTAGGGGAAATATGTACACACCTATCTCACACAGATTATAATCTTAAATCCTAAAAACAACTCATTCTCGTAGATTCTCTTTTAAAAAAGGGAAGAACAAGATTCAGAGGTGTTAGGTGACTGGCCAAGACTGCCCCACTAACAGGTGTCAGAGCTGGAATTCAAAGCCCGTCCTCCTGGTCCCGGAGCTGGAGCTCCTTGAACTGCACCACACAGCCACTGGCTCCCTCCATCTAAGAAGGCAGATCAGGGCCTCGTTTGACCTCAGCTGCAAATGTGCATGTTGGGTGACTCCGAATCTTTGCTGTTCTGCGTATGTCTGTGCATGACTACAAAAGCGCCTCAAATATTGGTTCGGGGGTTACAAATCAATTTTTAGCAAATAGGTAAATTCACAAATACCAAATCTGTGAATAGTGAAGATTGACATATATATACTTAGGTATATATATCAATACAATATCATATATATGTTATATGTGATATATACATATATAGTATCATATATATGTAATGTATATTACCTATATGAATCCTTAAACACTATATAGCACTCTTTCATTTTTTAAGACTGTATCTAAATAGTATCACACCAGAAATAGCTTCTGCAAGAGGCTTCTTTCCATCCACGTTTTTGCTAGTGTAGTCATGGTTCGCTTCACGGCTGCAGAGGAACAGCTAGTGTTTACTGAGCACTTGCTGTGTGCCAGGAGTGAACACTTTATACGTCACATCTGGTTGAATCCTCAAGGCCACACTATCAGGTGAATACTATTCTTATACCCATTTGACAGGGGAAGAAACTGAGGCACAGGGAGGTGAAATCGGTTGCCATAAGTGCCTAGGAAATGTTAATTGGAGGAATGGGTGATGGAAACCACTGGAATGATCACCAACAGGATGATGGGTAAATAGAACGTGGAGTTCTAAGTTTAGGTAGACATATACAAATTTGTCGTAGAGAAACTTTGAAGGCACACATGGATTCAGATTTGCAGAAGTTCTGGTGCTCACTGTGGTGTCTTGGGGGGTTCGGCTTGTGGGGAAGGTGGACAAGACCTGGCCACTGCCCAAATTCCATAGCAGTTGTCCTTGGAGACGCCACCTTCTCTTCCAGCGGTCTCCTGCGTCGTGGCAGAGTGGAGCGGCTGGAGTCGCTGTGTCAAGCCCTGCCAGGTCTCTTACCGTCTCCGCCAAAGGCATGTCCTGCAGGAGCCAAGGAACGGGGGTGCTCCCTGCCCCCCACTGGAAGAGCGGGCTGGCTGCGTGGAGTACTGGAGCCACCAGGGTGTGGAGTGCCAACAGTCGTTGCGTGAGTTGGGGTGGCCTTGGGGGTGGCTGTCAGAGAGAAGAGCCTGGCCGGACCGCAGGGCCCTCCATAAGTTTCCGTGTGGGGTCTGAGTTTAGGGTGGGACTTTGTCTTCCTTTTCCCTCATCCCCCTCCTCACCCTCTGAATGAGGTAAGAAGCTCTGACTTCCTCTGGGCATCTCGATGTCTTCTTTCTATTCCTCTCCCATTGTGAATCAGTCAGGGCTTTGTTTAAATGAAGATGACAGGAAACCCATTTTAAACTGACTTGAGCAAAAATGTGTGGCTCATGTAACTAAGATCTCAGGGTCTGCATTCAGGCATGGCTGGATCTAGGAGCTCAAGCAATGTTGCCAGGAACCTATCTCCATCTCTCAGCTCTGTTTTCTAATGAGTTGGCCTCATTCTCAGGTAGGCATTCCCCCTGTAATGGTCTTTGATAGCTCCAGGCTTCCCTGCAACCAGCCTAGCAGCTGGAAGAAAAGGCCTCTTTCCCCTTAGTTTCAGCACATGTCCTTCGTTTCACCAAACCTTACCGCAGTGTCACCCTCCTGTTTTAAATTCTCCAATAGGTATCCTGCACCCTCGTGAAGCCCAAACTCATCATCATGGTCTACAAGCTCAAGTGCTCTGGCTCTTACCTCCTGTGACCTCACCTTCCTTCTTCTGTCTACATTTTAAAGGATCATTCTGTTCACTGTGGGGACAGGAGACTGAAAGGGGTCAGAGGGCAGCGGGGAGGCCAGGAAAGAGGTGACTGCAGTGGTGCAGGCAAGAGAGGAAGGTGTCTGGACCAGGATGGTGGCAGTGGGGTGATGAAAGAGGGAATGTCATTTCCTCTGCCTGAAATCCTCCTCCCTCTGCTTTGCCACCCACATCTAACTTTCCTGGTTCATCGCTTCCTGTGTAGATGTCAGTTTTCTCCAGGAAGATTTTCCTGACTGCCCCTACTACTGCCCCTACATGCCATCTGCCATGCACTTGGCCACATTACTTGACTCTGTGAGGCCAGTGTTACTATGCATTTTACAGAAGGGGAAACCAAGGCTCAGGGAGGCACAACACCTGCCCAAGATACATGACTCATCGTGCATCATTTTATTCAACGCTGACAATAACCGTATGATATAAGTTCTAGTATTATATATATATATTTTTTTTGCGGTACGTGGGCCTCTCACTGCTGTGGCCTCTCCCGTTGTGGAGCACAGGCTTCCGGACGCGCAGGCTCAGCGGCCATGGCTCACGGGCCCAGCCGCTCCGCGGCACGTGGGATCTTCCCGGACCGGGGCACGAACCCGCGTCCCCTGCATCGGCAGGCGGACTCTCAGCCTCTGCGCCACCGGGGAAGCCCTAGTATTATACTCATTTTGCTGATGAGGAGACTGAGGCTCTGAAAGGACCAAGATGACTGAGATGTAAGAGGGGGAGCTGGAACCAGAATCTGGGCTTCTCTGGGGCTCTCCTTGCTGCTCTAGGCTACGCCAAAAGCAGCACTGGACGTTGGAAGAGAAAAGGGAAGTTGTGTATTCAGTGTGTTACCTTCTCTCGATCACAAGCATTAATTAGTTCAACACCATATCTTTGATTCAGCCCCATCGCTCAGAATGGGCAGGGGTAGGGATATCTTTGGGCTCTTTTTCCCCCTAAGGAATCACCAACCTCTCATGGACTGACCCTCAATTCTCCTCTGTGTTCTCCTCTGTCTGCTCCAGGAAGGAAGAGGCTTGGAAGTTGGCCCAACAAGATAATTTTATTAATTCATTTATCTGTCCATACCTCTGTCCCCCTTTTCTTCCATCCTTACATTTTCCCACCTATTCATTCATCTATGCGTCTGGTTCTTTTATCCCTTCATCTGTCCATCGACCTATCATGTCTTCATCCATCCTTCTTTCCATTCATCATCTCTGTCTCTCCTTTTTTCCATCCTCCCATCTTCCCATTTACTCATCACCCATCCATTCTTCCTTTCTTATATCATTTCAGCCACCCATCCATCCATTCAGTTATTAACTCATCTCTTTTTTTCTCACTCACTCACTTATTCATTCATCAAAATCATTCATTTGAAGAACTTTTTATTGAGACTCACTATACAACCCACTGTGCTAGGCCCTGAATCTAAGAGATAAATATGATCCTGCCTCCATCATTGCATAAGGGGTACTTGTGGGGACTATCTACCCAGTTACAAGACCCCACAGTCTCCTTAGGGCTACCATAGACATGACTCTGACACCAGGAGTACCTAATCGTGCTTCCTGTGGTGTCATAGCCTTGGGGGCGGTGGTGCTGGGCTACCTGACTCTGTTTTCTCCTTGGCCCACAGTCCCTGCTCTGATAACCACAGGCAGCTACGGGAAAGAACGAGAAAAGCGAGGTGTCCCCAAGAAGCAGGAGACAATAGGGTAAGTGGAAGCAAATGAACCCAAAGTCAAACTCAGATTTGTGAACATTTTTCCTTGGATTAGACTTTCATCATGTTTCTCTCTTCCTTTTTTTTTTTTTTGCGGTACATGGGCCTCTCACTGTTGTGGCCTCTCCCGTTGCGGAGCACAGGCTCTGGGCACACAGGCCCAGCGGCCATGGCTCACGGGCCCAGCCGCTCCGCAGCATGTGGAATCTTCCCGGACCGGGGCACGAACCCACGTCCCCTGCACTGGCAGGCGGACTCTCAGCCACTGCGCCACCAGGGAAGCCCTCTCTCTTCCTTTAACATCTCCCCATTTCTTGTCCTGTTACATTTATAAACCCATGAACATGAACTTTGAGTCCTTAATGCCTGGTCTCTATTCAGCTTCATTCACTTACTCATTCACTCAGTGTTTATTGTTTATACGACAGGTATGTTTATGTTGTTTATATGCGTTAGGCCTTGGGTCTACAGCAAGGAAGTAAAAAGGACAGAAATACTTGTCCTCATGGAGTCTGCCTCACAGGAGGCAGACAATAAACAAACACATAGCCTGTCAAATGGTGCTAAGTGCTATGGAGAAAAATGAAGCAGGGAAGAGGGTGGGTGTGCCAGGGACATCCTTGTTTAGAGGAACTAAGATATTGAAGAGGTTATCTGGGGGAAGAGCATGATTGGCAGAGGGACTAGCAAGTGCAAAAGTCCTGAGGCAGGACATGCCCGGCGTTCAGGGATCAGCAAGTAGTTCCGGCTGGAATTCAGGGAGAGTGAGAAAGAGTAGGAAATATGATATATTGGGGGGAGGGGGGTGGTCAGGTCACACAGGGCTGTGGTGGGAAGTTGGGTACTTTCTCTGCATGAGATGGAGTCATGGGAGGGTTTTGGGCAGAGGAATGACAGGATCTGACTTAGGTTTTCACAGGGTCCCTTTGGATACTATTTGGAGAATAGATCGTAGAGAGGCAAGGAGGGAACCAGGGAGACCAATGCGGGGCCTACAGCAATGGTCCACATGAGAAATGAAGGTGGTTTGGACCAGGGTGGTAGCCCTGTGCCTTTGAAGGGTGGATTTCAGGGACTGGAGTCAGACAGTGTGTTGCCGATGGTGGTGATGAGGTCAAGCATCTAGGACAGTGCCTGGCACATGACAGATACTCAACAAATATTAATTGAAAGAATAAGGTCTGAACTAAGGCAGTGCTAAGGGAGATGGAGAGGAGAGCTCTATTTGTTAGGATTCCTTTCACTGCAAGGCACAGAAACTCAGCTCAAACTGGCTCAGGTGAAAAGGAGAATTATTGGTTCCTTCTGGGCTGGCTTTGGGCTGTTCCTGGAAGAAAACTGTCCACTCCTTGGGCTTCCCAGAGGCTGCAGCCACCAGGGGGCAGCAGCCCCACACAATAACCTCCCGGGGTCCTTGACAAGCTGCATCTCTTGCAGCAGGGGGTGCCATTTACCACTACTTGTAGAAAAAGTTGGGTCGAAGTAAAATTTTAGCAAATTGGGTCTTAATTCAGATGCTCCAGAATGGGACAGTTATTTAAATAATTCTTGCAGTGAATCTTTTCTGTAAAATAGGATCTTTTACAAAATGTGGTGGAGTGCTTATTGAGGCTTTTGGGGTTAGGCAGTTCCATTTTAGGCACTACCACTTATTAGCTGTGTGACTCTGGGCAAGTTATCTTTCTGCTCCTCAGTTTCCTAATCTGTAAGCTGGGGCCAAGATCTACCTTGCAGGGTTTCCCTATTCCATTGGACCAAATGATTCGGCAAATTTTTGTCAAGCCAGGTCCTCGTCTAGGACTTGGACACAACAGTGAACAAAACAGATACAAATTCCTGCCTTTGTGGAGCTGACATTACTGCGGGGGAGAGAGATGAGAAGTAAACAATATAATCTTTTGGATAAGGTGTTTGAAGAACTGGCCCATGGAAGCCCTCAATGATGTTAACTTGAAAAAGCAGGAGCCAAGTCTCATGGATGCAGATTGAGTTGCCCAAAAGGTTTCTTCTGTAGCAGGGAGAAATTGTATCAACCTGAGCCTGCATAGGGCTAGGTACACAGTAGGTGCTCCATAAATGCTCACAGGTGTTTGGGGTGGTGTCTTCCTGTGTGGCTGCAGGTACTGTGTCCAGTTCCGGCTGGGGCCCGTTCCAGGGAGCTGCCAGCAGGTGAGGGCGCCCCATGCCCAGTGGACAAGGTATCTGACCCAGGGCCACACAGTTTGTGTGAGGTGTGAGTGGCCTGCCCAGGATGCCAGGAGCCGGCGCTGCTACGGGGATGGTGGAGGGGCCGGAGGGTAAGCCATGGGACTCGGGCATGGGGAAGTACGACTGTAGAGCCTGGGGCCTCTCTGCAGTCTGAGAGATGAAGGTGCCCAGGCAGCGGGAGCCTGTTTCCTGGCCAGGGCAGGGCGCAGGAGGGTTCTGATCCCAGTGTCCGAGGAGGAGCAGCTCCTGCCATTTTCAGCTGTGTGACCTTGGGCGATCTCATAACTTCTCTGAACCTCAATTTCCTTATCTGAAAATGCAGATAATAAGAGGACCTCCTCATGGGGCAATGATGAAAGTGAAGTGAGATTGTGCAAGTTGAAGACTTAGCATAGCTCCTGACATCCAGAAAGTACTCAAGAAAAGGGAGCTGGTTTCATTGTTGAATCCTTACAATTCCCTTAAAAGCCAAGTTTGGTTACCCTCATTTTATAGATGGGGCAACAGAGGCTCAGAGAGGCATGGTGACTTAGTCAAGGTCACACAGGATTTGACCCAGATTTGGCTGTTATCATCCCCCTAGACTCCTCCCACAAGGGCAGATGTCTTGGAAAGCACTTAGCATTACAATAGTAGCTAAAGTTTATTGAGTGCCTACTATGTGCCAAGCATTATTCTAAGCTCTATATTCATTCATTCATTCAATACATATTTGTTGAGCACTTACCATTGAGCATGTGCCAGACAATGTTTTGGGTACTGGGGAGATGCAGTGAACAAAGGAGCTGTGGTCCTTCTCTTATGGAGACACATTCTGCTCTGAGGAGGCAGACATTAGGCAAGTAAATCTGTAATTTGTCAGATGGGAGATAAGTGTTAGGGAAAGAAAGCAGAATCGGGGAAGTTCTGGGGAATTTTTTTTTTTTTTTTAAGGAAAGTGACACTAAGGAGGTGACATTTGAACAGAGTTCGGAAGGAAATGAGGGAGGTAGACATGTGGAGGTTTGGGGGAAGGGTATTCCAAGCAGAGGGACCAGCAAGTGTAAAAGCCCTGAGGCGGGAGCGTGCCACCATTGAGGCTGGCGTGGAACGAGCAAGGGGGAGCGTGGAAGGAGGTGAGGACGCATTGACACACAGGATGCCCTTGAAACGTTCCAAGAGCGCAAAGCGGATACTTTCAGGATCCTCTCCTTCTGGATGAGGAGACTGATTCACAAAGAGGTGCCCGAGGTCACACACCTAGCAAGTGGCAGAAACAGGCTTTGAACCTAAATTGCTCAGACTCCTCGGCCAAGCTCTAAAGACAAGTCTAGACTGTTTTCCACTGACTGTGCTTTTCCATGCAGGGATTATTAGACTGTAGGAACAAGAGCTCTCTCTGGGGTCTCTCCAGGGAGTTCTCCCATGTCTAAGGATGTTAGTTTCCTGACTTTTAAAATTGAGCAGCCCTGCTCACTGTAAACCTAGAGCAGGGAATGCCAGTGCCTGTTGGGGTGTTAGGGACAGATGTATCAGAACGAGACGCATTGGGACTGCACAGATCTGGGTTCAAATCCCACTTCTGGCCCTTACTAGGTATGTGACTCTGGGCAAACCCTTCTTACCCTGACAGTCCCCACCACTCAGATGGTGGGAAGGATCCTGAGCCCTTTGCACAGCACCTGGCTCCTCATAGATGCTTAGTAGTGGAAGCTGCTCTTGTCATGTTTAACCTATAAAATGGGTATAATAATATATGTACTTTGAGAAAATGACATGTGATAAATGTGATGAACCTGGCACATAGTAGGTGCCCAATAAATAAATGGCAGACCATAGGGAGGCCCTCTCAACCAACCTTCCTCCAACCTCTCCCCTCCACCACTTACTCGTCCTAGACCTGAGATTCTACCATTAGAGATTCATTCTTTGGACTAGATGCTCACTTATTAGAGCCTCAGTTTACTTATCCATCTTTGAATAAGCCTTTCTAGCCCTAAAACTCTGATTAATCCCAAACTTCTCTTTTTGGATGCAAATACTCCAGGAACACGGCACTTTGGTGAGGCTGAGATGAGGGTCGCAGGGACTGCTGCCTCTACCAGGCATGGGTAGAGATGGAAAGCAGAGCCAGGTCTGTGCCAGGCAGGGGCATCTTTCTCTGCTCCCACCCCAGCCAGGCCAGGCTCACAGAACAGGTGATGGAAGGTCTGATTGGGGGCATGAGCTCACCAGGCAGGACTGGGCAGAGGAGGGGGATCAAAGTGAGGATGGAGGATCGAGCTGCCAGCCAGATTCTTTCCGTGGGCAGCTGGTGAGGGCGGGCATGCAAAGGGCCCAGCCCCGGGGAGGGTTAGCCTGCCATTTTGGGATTTTAGGACGGTTTATTTAGCATGAGAAGTGTCTCTGAGTTTGGGACAAGCAGAAGGAACACCTGCTATAGTCATGCACCTACTGTGTGCTGGGCACCAAGTGGGTGCTTTAGATGTGAGCTCCCACTCAAGCCTCTCAAGCCCTGTTGAGACAAGGGACATTCATTCCATTTTATACACTGAGGATGGCAGTAACAATGGTAACTTTAAATGCTATCATTTGTGAAGTGCCTATTAGGTGCGAGGCACTGTGCTTAGAAGCTTAGAGCAGTGCCTGGCACATGAGACAATCTGTGTGTGGTATTATTGCCATTATTTGCATTTTTAAAAGATGTGAATTATACCTACAGAGAATTGGCTAAAACATATATGAACAGGTTAATAAATGTTTGCAAAGAGGACACATCTGGGTAGTCACCACCCAGGCAAGGAA